TTCTATCTTTTGCGTTTTCTCGATTTTACGTGAAATTTCAAGTACTCTTTAAAATTCAGTGACTTACGCCAAAATTTAAATATTGCGAAATTTCAATGCTTTCTACTAACGAAACCGCAAATAGACTTGAGAATCGGGTTTTTTGTATCTTTTTCAGCAATATTTGCATCTATTGGAATAAGCTTTCAAAAGTTTGGGACAAATTACGAATTCAGATTAATAATTTTCCAGTGTGCTATTTTCTACAGATGTAATTTTCATTGTTATAACATCAAAAGACAATAAGATAAGACTTAACGAATCTTAAGGAACATATTTGAATCTGCTGAAATCCACAATGAAAGTTGAGGACATCATCAATCAACTTAGTTATTATGTAATTTTCAATTCTTTCAAATTACGATTGATTTCCTTATTGTCAGGCTAAATCTGGGTATCAATATATTCGTTTTACAGTTATATAAATCAAACCGCAATAGACTTTTACAAAAGGCTAATATCATCTTGTAGGGCATAATCTATTCTAACATAATCTGAAATCAAAAGTTGGGGACACAATTTTTATTGAATTGAAGTTTTAATTTCATTGGTTTTCATATTTAGTTCGAATAATTTGGGTAAGAAGAAGTCTAAATCTAGTCAATATATCCTAGAAAGTTGAAACCGAAAGATTGTCAAACCAAAAAATTTGTGTTTGACCTTTGCCCTCTCCTACTGACTAGCTTTACTTTTTCCTATGGAAAGGCTTGTATGAGCTATTGATGAATGTTTTTTCAAAAAGCAATAAAGTGGTCAAAAAAATTAAAGAGAGTTTTATTGCTCTGTAGCGTTAGCAATGCATTTTGGCAAAACTACTCTTAGACTTTTTTGTCTTCAACCGGTTCGATCGCGGTTTATATTAATATTACAGTGAACTGTTATGTTCTAATTCTTCATTTTTTAAATATAGATGCTCATAACTGTGATTGACAATGTTCCGAAGTCAAAAGTTCCTAACTTCAAAGGTTTTGATTTTATTAGTATTCAAAAATTATTTTGGACAAAAAAGTCTAAGAGTAGCAACCGAGGGTTAACTGAAGTCAATTTAGTTCCAGGTCCAGTATTTCTCACAGCCCAAGCAACGAGAGATGGAAGTCCATGTTCCTTTTCCTCACTTTGTCCAGTTACTTTCTTCTCAAGAATCTTACCGAAAACAAGAACCCAATGGACTCCTTTAGTACCTGATTCATCAGCATGATCCTTTAAAAACTTGGTAGCACCAATGATGTTGAGTGAGTTGTAGTACTTAAGAAACGCATCTCGATACTTCTCAGTAAACTGATAAAACTTAGCTGCGTCAATCTTAGCTGCTTGACAGTCCTCTTTAGGGTCAGCAGCAGCCCAGAGGAGCAATGGGATTGCTTCAGTAACAGCACCACTGTTAGCGATTTCATCGCCTGAAATGAGTATTAAAATAGCGAAACCGAAATGTGAAAATATTGTTCAATGTTATAAGTTGAAATTTATGGCTTACCGGAGACGATGAAAGATGGAAGGATGAGGAGTGAAGCAACAACAAGTAAACGCATCATTTTGACCGAGATTGATTTCACGTTGGATTCAACTGTAACTAGACTGGGAACAATTTTATGATAATTTACTCTGGATTTTCATCGCCTTTTATATCATTTTGTAGTTTAAGTCATCGTGAACTTGCTTGTACTTTTATGATTTGACATTGATTTTGATGCGATGCTGACAGATTTATCTGATTGTTTCAATTGTTTTTCCTACCGAATTGGCATTATTTGTCTCACCTGAACATCTCAAATATAAATATCATCAGTTAATTATCAGTATCAATGGTT